ATCTTCTCGCTTTCTTCTTTGCTTCTTCCTTAATCAGTTTATTATCACGAATTATCGCATGATCTGTTATCACACGATAATGATAAGAACACAACATCGGTTCCATAAATTCTTTTATCACACTTCAATGTGCCTTCAATGAACTGTTCATTTCTTGTTTTGGAATTCTTAATTTACTTTTAAAAATTCACATCTCCACATAACAGTTACTATTAAATGGCTCTGAAATAAAGGATGCGACGAAAAAAAGAGTTTTTCGAATGAGGAGTGATAATGGAACCTCCTCTTTGGCTTTTGCTCTCTTCGCTTCAGCATCAGACATATTCAGCGTTGACTTTCGGACAGACGATTTGTCCTCCAACAGCTGGAATACTCGATCGGTTAAGAAATCTCATGCATTCACATGTTCTGCTCATTGAGGTTCACTTACATGTTTATCTCATCGAATCATAAGCTTTTATGTGAACAGTGTTCATGATTTTTCAGACCGTGTTTGGAAACAGAATCATAATGCGGTCGGTCGGTATCTTATTTCGCAAAACAACACTTACGGAGTGCAGAAAACGCTTGAAAGCAGCCTTCATGATTACGATTTTGAACTTCTCAGAACAGCTTCCAAAAGTGCTCTCAACCACTCGCCACCAATATTCAGGATAATAATGATAATCAGATCAGTTGCTAGTCCAGATTAAATCAGACCAGAACAAAATATTGCTTTCAGCAGCCGAATGGAGAAGGAAGGAAACGAAAGCAACACACCAAAGGGAACAGACAAGAGGACCGGATGGAAATGTGCTGCTGATGGCGACTGACTAAATTCATTCATTCATTCCGTTTGATAGTTTACACTTCACTCGCAGAGAATGTAAAACTTCGAACCTCAAGATCACTTGCTAAATTGCACACCAACCATCGCAACTACCTAGCACACGATCAGCAAGAGTATCAGCCTATCGACGACTATCATCAATCAAACGCATCCTCAATCTCACAATTTGCATCCGTTCATTCAATCTCTTTTTGTTGCAATACCACACCTTTACTACGAACAGTCTCTTCTTCTACTTCAGATCCAACGAAATATCAATTCAGTATCAGCAAATTGATAGTATCGCTCAGTACATTTGCTTCGTTCTCAGGATTCGTTCGCAGGAGCATTTTTTTGTTGATTGATTGTGCAGCACTCTCTTTTCTTGATCCTTTTGTTGGTATGAGTTTCTTTCTGAGGTTCACATGTTTTAATGCAGTTTACTGACTGCAGAGTATATGCGAAAGGCGGAACAACGCTGATGAAAATCTTATGGATAGTGGAGACATAGTATTGTTGATAACTGCTTTTTAAAATGTGCGAGTGAACTCTCTTTGTTGATTTCGAAAAAACTGAGTTTTGAGAGGTATATAACTCACGTGTTCATTTCGGTCATTGACTGTGAGAGATACTGTTACATTTATACTCATCTTACTGCGTAATTGAATTGAGAGGCATAATTTGTTGATCACGATTCTCAAACTCATCAGGAAAGACCTCAAAATGACCCCAACAAACTCGGTATCACCTTGCACAGTTGAACAACTGGACGATGCGTTAAATAATTCAAAGATTGATTATTGACAGCAGGTGGAGGATCACCCAGCTGCATAACTCGTGTACAACTACCAAATTGATCGTGTACATTAATCGTACCATGCAGTGTGATAGTTAAGCGTTTGATTTGTACACAAAAGACAAGAATTCATACCTCTAGAGATCGAATGTCTTGAATTTATCACACTCATATTCTTGAGAACAAAAGTTAACCACCTTTCACCGGCTCTTACGAAAGTACCAATATATCCGATAATCTGCACATTTCTCATGTTTCTCACGTCACAAGCAAATTAACTTTTATATATATATATATATATATATA